GTATCATGTCATCTGTAAATAAGGACAGTTTTACTTCTTCTTTTCCAATTTGGATGCCTTTTATTTCTTCTTCTTGTCTGATCGCAATGGCTAATACTTCCAGTACTATGTTGAACAGGAGTGGTGAGAGGGGGCATCCCTGTCTTGTTCCTGTTCTCAGGGGAAATGGTTTTAATTTTTGCCCATTGATTATGATGTTGGCTGTGGGTTTGTCATATATGGCTTTTATTATGTTGAGGTATGATTCTTCTATTCCTACCTTGCTGAGAGTTTTTATCAAGAAAGGGTGCTGAATTTTGTCGAAAGCTTTTTCTGCATCAATTGTTATGACTATGTGGTTTTTATCTCTCAATTTGTTTATGTGATGTATCACATTTATTGATTTGCGGATATTGTACCATCCTTGCACCCCTGGGATAAATCCTACTTGGTCATGGTGTATGATCTTTCTGATGTATTGCTGGATCCAATTTTCTAGAATTTTGTTGAGTATTTTGGCATCTATGTTCATGAGGGATATTGGCCTATAATTCTCTGTCATTGTGTTGTCTCTATCTGGTTTTGGTATTAGGGTGATGCTGGCTTCATAAAATGAGCTGGGAAGTGTTCCTTCCTCTTGAATTTTCTGGAATAGTCTGAGGAGGATATGTTTTAGTTCTTCCTTGAATGTTTGGTAAAACTCCCCTGTGAAGCCATCTGGCCCCGGGCTTTTGTTTGCTTGGAGCTTTTTGATGACTGCTTCAATTTCTTCCATAGTTATTGGCCTGTTGAGATTTTTAGAATCCTCTGGATTGATTTTTGGAAGATTGTATTTTTCAAGGAATATGTCCATTTCCTCCAGGTTGTCTAGTTGTTAGAGTAGAGTTGTTCATAGTATTTTTTAACAATTCTTTGAATTTCTGTGGGGTCTGTTGTTATTTCGCCTCTTTTATTTCTGATTTTGTTTATTTGAGTCCTCTCTCTTTGCTTCTTGGTGAGCCTGGCTAGAGGCTCGTCAATCTTGTATATCCTTTCAAAGAACCAGCTCTTGGTTTCATTGATCTTTTGTATTGTTGTTTTTTTTTGGTCTCTATGTCATTTATTTCTGCTCTGATCTTTATTATCTCCTTTCTTCTGCTCACTCTAGGCTTTTTTTGTTGTTCTCTTTCTAATTCTTTGAGTTGTAGAGTTAAATGATTTACTATCATTTGTTCTTGTTTTTTGAGGTAGGCCTGTAGTGCTATAAACTTCCCTCTCAGGACTGCTTTCATTGTGTCCCATAGATATTGGATTGTTGTACTGTTATTGTCATTAGTTTCCAGGGTGTTTATAATTTCTTTTTTGATCTCACTGGTAACCCAATCATTATTTAGTAACATGCTATTCAGCTTCTAAGTGTTTGAGATTTTTGGGTTGGTTTTTTGTGGTTTATTTCTAATATTATGCCATTGTGATCTGAGAAGATGCTTGGTATGATTTCAATCTTCTTGAATTTGGGGAGACTTTGCTTGTGACCCAATATGTGGTCTATTTTTGAAAATGTCCCATGTGCACTTGAGAAGAACGTATATTCCGTGGCTTTGGGGTGAAATGTTCTGAAGATGTCAATTAAGCCCATCTGATCTAGTGAGTCATTTAAGATTGCTGTTTCTTTGCTGATTTTTTTTTTTCTAGAAGATTTATCCAGTGATGTCAGTGGTGTGTTTAAGTCCCCTACTCTGATTGTGTTGTTATTGATCTCTCCCTTGTTATTTTCCAGGAAGATTTTTATGTATTTCAGTGCTCCTGCATTGGGTGCATATATGTTTATAAGGGTTATATCCTCTTGTTGTATTGATCCCGTTAGTGTTATGAAGTGGCCTTCCTTATCTCTTGTTATGGCCTTCACTTTGAGGTCTATTTTGTCAGATATAAGCATTGCTACCCTAGCTTTTTTTTCATTTCCATTTGCCTGAAAGATATTTTTCCATCCCTTCACTTTCAGTCTGTGTGAGTCCCTTTTTCTGAGGTGGGTCTCTTGTAGACAGCATATATATGGTGTCTTTTGATTGGAGCATTTAGTCCGTTTACATTTAAAGTTATTATTGAAAGGTACTTGCTTGTAGTCATTTCTATTTTTGTGCCTGTGTTCCTTCTTACCTTTATATTTCTTCTTTTTACAGCATTCCCTTTAGCATTTCTTTGTCTTGTACATTTGCCATCCTTATTATGACGTGTGTTGGTGTGGGTCTTTTGGGGTTCATCTTGCTTGGGACTCTCTGTACTTGTGTAACTTTTTTCTTCCCCATATCTGGGAAGTTTTCTGTCATTATTTCTTCAAATAGATTTTCTAATCCTTGCTGCTCTTCTTGTCCTTCTGGCAGCCCTATTATGCGTATGTTACTTCGTTTCATGTTGTCCCAAAACTCCCTTAGGCTCTCCTCCTGCTTTTTAATTCTTTTCTCCAGTTGCTGTTCAGATTGAGCTTGTTTCTCTACCTTATCACTAATTTGGTCCTCTGCTTCTTCTAGTCTGGTGTTGAAACCTTCCATGGTGTTGTTGATTGTAGCTATATCACTTTTCATTTCTTCCTGATTCTTGCATAGGTTGTTGATTTTCTCATCCATCTTGTGAATGAATTGTACAACCATTACTCTGAATTCTTTTTCTCTCATGTTGCATGCTTCAATTTCATTAATTTCCTTTCTTGGAGACTCCTCATTTTCTTTCCTCTGGGTGTTGTGTCGTCTCTTCATTCTGATTATCTCCCAATGGCTCAAAATGTCGAGTTGCATGGGCCTGGGCCGTGTGCAGTGGGAGCCTCACACCACCCTAGTGTCACTGAAGAGCTCTGACACTAAGATGTGTGGTTGTTGTGGGTTGGTGGGAACCAGGATCACTAAGAGTCAGTGTTGCCAGTGCTCAATGTGGCCTCGTGTGCGCCCTTAGAATCAGGGACCTTGCCTGCACCATGCTGAAACAGAGACCCCCCTGGAGTGTGTTGAAAATCAGAGCCCCCTAGCGTGCAGCAAGAGTCAGAATTCCCCAAGAATCCAGTATCAGAGTCTCTGTTGCTTCAAGCGACTTCACATTGAGAATCAGGGTCCCTGTGTGCCCATGCACCAAGAATTGGAGTAACTGGCTCTTAGTATGAATGCACAGGGAATCAGGGATCCCAGGTGCAGGTGATAAGAAACACAGTCAAGTCACTGGTGCTTGGTGCTGCCTCCTGCCCAGAGAATCTGGGTCCTTGGGAGCTGGACAAATTCCTGGTGTTCGCACATTAGCTCCCAGGCCAGAGCACCTATAGCCTGCACTGTGTGGGACCAGTTCCAAGGTGCTTGCGCACTTCCAGGCTAAAGTTCCTGTAGCAGCACTGAGGCCCGGGCAAGGGGTGGGTCTATCAGTTACTATGGCACTGACCACGAGCCTGCGGGGAGGAGGATGGGCTCTGTTACTCACGGATCTGCCGCGGGGATTTCTGGACTTTTGGTATCCATGGGTCTGTAGCTGTGGTCACAGGTCTCTGTCCCCAATGGCTGCAGGGTCCTGGTATGAGTCTGAGATCTGACTGGGTGGTGCTGTGCCCCTGCTGGCCGCCCAGGAGTGTCCGAGCAGGGAGAAGGGCTCTGCCATCTAAGACTGCCCGGTTTAGCAGCCCCTTAGAAGACCTGCAAAATCTAACTGTCCCTAGCTCATACACACTTACACCACACACCACACACATCCACACACTCCTCTATCACTTCCTTGTGCTCTCACACTCTCTCCCTCCCTACCTTCCTGCCGGTCGCCATTTTTTCTTCCCCAGCATGTGGATTTTTAGCCTGTAAGTCTGAAAGGACCACAAGCTCTTCTGCAGCTCTTTACTAGCATTTGCCAACTCCCATGGACTAATTTGAATACTTTTTCTCCCTGCACCATTTTCTATCCCACTCACTGTCCTGCCTTCCACCACTCTTAGATGAATGGATGTTGTAATTCTAGCTAATTTGTGGACCTGTTATTTTTGTTGTTTTCTGTGAGGCACATATATTGGATGTGGGAGGTAAAGAAGCACCTCAGTTTTTCCTGGTCACTGCCTTTATAGCCATTACTATCTTGTTTCTTGTCACTCAGGTTAGGTTTTGGTCTCTTGCTCCACTGCAAAAAAAAATAAAAAATAAATAAATCCTGAAGACATGGAATAGGAGGAAAGACCACACAGCCATATCTGCAGGGTTTTGAGGAGTGATTTTTTTTCCCCTTGAAGGGAAAAAGCTTTTTCAACGGGTACATTTGAAGTTGCCCAACTACAAGAGGTACCAATTTTGGATGAGTGCTACTGCAATACAGAATGCTCAGAGAACCTGAACTGTTAAACTCTAGAGGTCTGAAACTTACTGTTGGCCACCACCGAATCTGTCTGGGGTTTCAAAGGAATATTGGGTGCTGCAAATAGGAGCCAAAGGGGTAAATTTATTAAATCCATTAAACCTGTGATTGGTTACTGTTTTCTTGCAACTTTAAAGAAACTGAAAAAGGGGGGAGGGGCAGATGTCAAAACACTTGTCCCAATTTTATTTTTTGAAATATATTTTTATTTATTTCAAAGAGGTAGGGAGATCAAGAGAGATATAGAAACATCATTGATCAACTGCCCTCTGCACACCCACAACTGGGAATTGAGCCCGCAACCCAGGCATGTGCCTTTGACCTGAAACAAACCTGCTACCCTTTAGTCTGCAGGCCAATGCTCTGTCCACGGATCCAAACCAGCTAGGGCACTTGTCCAATTTTAAAATGCCACAATTAAACATGAGCTAGCTTCCATCAATCAATCAATCAATCAATACATATAGTAAATACATATTGTTGTGTATCTTCGCATGGAATCTAATAACTATGACAAAAACAGTATGACATGTTTTTGTGTCATCATCATTGCCTAACTATTCATCTACCTTTTGCTTTTTCCTCTTGTGCTCCAGATGCCATGACTGTTTTTACTTCCAGGTGGAGGAGTTATATTTTAACTTTCTAATTGATTTCCCTTTGCACGTAAGCATGAGCCAGGGTAAAGGGATCAGCCATTTGAAAAGAAGCCTGTGTGCCACCAGGATGCCTATGAAGTGGATTTCAGTTCTGCTGCTGCTACAGCTGAGTGGTCACTTCAGCCCTGGGAGTTGTGGAAAGGTGCTGGTGTGGCCCACAGAATACAGCCACTGGATCAACATGAAGACCATCCTGGATGCACTTGTCCAGAGAGGTCATGAAGTGACTGTTCTGACATCTTCAGCTTCAATTCTTGTTGATCCCAATAAACCATCTGCTATTCAATTTGAGGTTTTTCCTACATCTTTAACAAAAGATGATATGGTTTCTTTTTTCATGCGGCTGATCAATAAATGGACATATGATCTGCCAAAAGATACCTTTTGGACACATTTTTCACTAATGCAAGAAATGTTTTGGGAAGGTTCTGACTTCATTGAAAAGCTCTGTAAAGATGCTGTTTTTAATAAGAAACTTATGACAAAACTACAGGAGTCAAGGTTTGATGTTGTGCTTGCAGATGCCGTTGGAGCATGTGGTGAGCTGCTGGCTGAGCTACTTAAAATACCTTTTGTTTACAGTCTCCGCTTCTCTCCTGGCTATAAAATTGAAAAGTACAGTGGAGGACTGCCATTCCCTCCATCCTATGTACCTGTTGTCTTTTCAGAATTAAGTGATCAGATGACATTCATAGAGAGGGTAAAAAATATGGTCTATGTGCTCTATTTTGACTTCTGCCTGCAAACATATAATCAGAAGAAGTGGGATCAATTTCTGAACGAAGTACTAGGTAAGCTATGTTTTTCCTTGGTAGCATGAAGTCCTAACTTTCCTAGTGCTTTGGAAGATGAGTTGGTATAAATATTGAGAGGAATTTGTCTTTTATAAGTGCAATGATTAAATAATCTATAAGAATAAAAACATAATATGCTAATTAGACCAGACAGCTGGACGACCTTCCAGATGACCTTCCGGACGAAGCTGGGTCCATGTTGGCTGAGTCAAGCTGCCGCAGCTGTGAGGGCCAAGCTCTTCCATGAATTTCATGCATCGGGCCTCTAATAATATATAATGATCTTTTAATCTCACAAACACAGGGAGAGTGTTCCCCCCAAAAATGTATACAAACTTTTTTCTGATAGCTCAGTTGATGTTTCTTTATTTTCAGATTTAACCCATTGGAGTTAATAATGATTCAAAGTGCGTCTATATTTGTGGGACACCCTATATTACAGAAATGCTTAAATTATAAGGTTAATTTAAACCCTGGGTACACTAGTATGGGATACTCCAGGAAGTTAGAGACCCCAAATTGAAGCACTGAGGAGTTCCATCAGCAATCACATACCCATTCTTCTTTGTTTTTTTGTAATAGGCTTCATTTTTTAGAAGAGTGTTAGGTCCACAGCAAAATTAAGTAGAGCTTTCCATATATGCCCTGCCTCCTTATTGTCAACATTCCCCAGCAGAGAAGTACATTGGTTACAATTGATGAAAATATACTGAATTATTATTATTATGTTAAGTCCATAGTTTATAATATGGTTCACTCTTGGCATTGTATATTCTGTGATTTTTGGACAAATTTATAATGTCATGTATCCACCATTATAGTATTGTAAAGAGTAGTTTAACTGCCCTAAAAATCCTCTGGGCAGTGGCTCTGTCCATTTATCCTACATATCAATTTTACTATAATATTTTTCTTCAATAAATGCATTAGAAATTTCACTAAATATTTTCATCAAAGCACAAATGTAAATTGAGGAATTACATAGTTTTAACACAATGTCTATGGACCATTGGGGAAATTGTTTTTATTTGTTTCTCCTCAGTTTTCTTATTTAAAAATTATACTGTTTTGCCTTACTACCTGAAGGAGTCTTTGACAATGGAGAAATATGACTCTCAGATAAGAACCTATAACTCGAAGTTTCCAATGATTATATTGCTTCACTACGGGCTTATAAATCATCTGTTTTAAAGGCCTAAAATCTTGTTGAAGGGTAGATAATCAAGTTAAAAGTCTATATTTTTTCAAAAACTATATTTCTCTATTATAGACAAAATTAAGGGTGAGCACATCTATTTCCATACTTTATGAAAGATTTCCAGCTGTTTTTGGCAAATATTTTTATTTCACATACAAATATTCTTAAGCTCTGAATATGAACCAAATGCAATAGTGGCCATACTCTCAAAGATCTCACAATTTACTTGTAAAATCTAGAAATAAGGGAATAGCTTGCTAAATAGAATCTAGACTGAGTAGTCTAGGGAAAGGCATTTCTGTGTGTATGGTAGGGTTGATTGACTAAAGAGTTGAAATCACTGTTTACATTTGCATTCGTTAATTTTGAAGTTTTACAGAGTAAACAAATGTATACTTAACTCTTTAGTGCTTAAATAAATGTGTATGATTCTGAATGTACTGATGTGATATTAGAGATAAAAGTCTATATAAATAATGTGTGTGAATACTGTATTTTCAAGCCAATCACTTTTATTTGTATTTATTTATTTTTAAAATATGTTTTTTTATTAATTTCAAAGAGAGAGAATATGATAGGGAGAGAGAAAAATATTGATGTGAGAGAGAAACATTGATCAGTTGCCTCCTGTGCAGGGACCAAACCTGCAACCTGGGCATGTGTCCTGACTGGGAATCAAACCAGCAACCTTTCAGAGCACGGGACGACCCTAAACCAACTGAGCCACACCAGCCAGGGCTAAGCCAATCATTTTTTAAATAATTTTTTGTCTTTAATTTTTTGACATAAATATTATGCATGCATTTATGGTACAGGGGTCATAAGGAAATTTTCTTTTTTTAATTCTTTATTGTTGAAAGTTGCCGGGGTCCAACCCCAGCGGGTCCAGGGGTCTCCAAAGGTGTGGACGGAGTCGGCGAAGAAGGAAGGACATGGAGACAGCGTTCAGTTGATCAGCAGGCTAGCCAGGATCTCCATCCAGGATCTCCAGCCAAGTTCTGGTCTGGATCTCCAGCGAAGTTCTGGTTAGGATCTCCCGCCAGGGTCTGTGTCCATGTTCTCTTGCTAGGTTCTCCAGCCAGGTTCTGTCCAGGTTCTCCAGCCAGGTTCAGTTACCAGGTTCTAGTCAGGTTCTCTTGCCAATTTCTGTAGTCAGGTTCAGTCCAGGATCTTTTGCCATGTTCTCTCCAGTGAAGTTCTTCTGTCTCTTGAGAACGTTTTGTGTAGGTTCTGTGCCTCCTGGTTCTGTCTTCTTCTGGTTCCGTATTCTAAGTTCTGTCTCTTGCTGTCTTATTACATCTGTATTTATACCAGTTGATTCAATCCTATCAATCTCTATTACAAAGGTTAGGGCGTTTCTTATCTCCATTCCAGGGAGTAAAGATTATGTAGCTTAAGCACGATTGTTCGTAGTTAAAGTGATTAATTACCCACCTGGCACTAGTTAAGAGGTTTTATTCCCTCCCTAACTTCAGGGGAAAATCCCTACCTGGGAAAACAACCTTTCTCAGAGACCTTGGTTAAAACACATAGTGCCAAGAAGGTGAGCAAACATATTAAGAACAGTATGCTATATATGCCAGGTCCCTTGAAACAGCAAGCATGGACCGGCTCCCGGCAGAAAGTATTACATATAGTATTACATATGTCTCCTTTTTCCCCCACTGACCTTTCCCCAGCTACCCCCAACCCCAAGCACATGCCCTCACCCACCTAGTGTCTGTGTTCATTGGTTATGCTCATATGCCTGCATACAAGTTCTTTGGTTGATCTCTTACCCATCCACCTCCCCTATTTCCCCCTCCCTGTCTTCCCTTCTGAAGTCTGACAGTCTGTTTGATGCTTCTTTGTCTCTGGATTTATTTTTGTTCATCAGTTTTTGTTCATTATATTCCACAAATGAGTGAGATCATGTGATATTTATCTTTCTCCAAGTGGCTTATTTCGCTTGGCATAATGCTCTCCAGGTTCATCCTGCTGTTGTGAATGCTAAGAGTTCTTCCTTTTTTACAGCAGCATAGTATTCCATTGTGTAGATGTACCACCGTTTTTTAATCCACTCATCTGCTGATGGGGACTTAGGCTGTTTCCAAATCTTAGCTAATGTAAAATGAACATAGGAGTGCATATGTCCTTCTGATTGGTGTTTCTGTTTTCTTGGGATATATTCCTACAAGTGAGATTACTGGGTCAAATGGGACTTCCATTTTAATTTTTTTAGGAAACTCCATACTGTCTTCCATAGTGGCTGCACCAGTCTGCATTCCCACCAGCAGTGCATGAGGGTTCCTTTTTCTCCACATCCTCAACAGCACTTGTCATTTGTTGATTTGTTGATAATAGGCATTCTGACAGGTGTGAGATGGTGTCGGAAGCTGGTCCATCCTTGCTGCTTGACACAGTCGCTGCAGGAAAGAAACATCTGCACAGCATATGTTTCAAGGGACCTGGCGTATATAGCATACTGTTCTTAATATGTTTGCTCCCCTTAGCGCTGTGTGTTTTAACCAAGGTCACCTCTCCAAGAAAGGTTGTTTCCCCAGGTAGGAATTTTTCCCTGAAGTCAGGGAGGGGATGCCTCTCCTAGAAAGGTTGTTTCCCCAGGTAGGAATTTTTCCCTGAAGTCAGGGAGGGGATGAAACTCCTTAACTAAGTGCCAGGCGGGTTGTTAATCACTACAAACAATCATGCTTAAGCTACATAATCTTTACTCCCTGGAATGAAGATAAGAAACGCCCTAACCTTTGTAATAGAAATTGACAGGATTAAAATCAACTGGTATAAATATGGATGTAACAAGACAATAAACAGCAGAACTTCGCTGGAGATCCAGACCAGAACTTGGCTGGAGATCCTGGCTAGAGATCCTGGCTAGGCTGCTGATCAACTGAACGCTGTCTCTGTGTCATTCCTTCTTCACCGACTCCATCCACACCTTTGGGGACCCCTGGACCTGCTGGGGTTGGACTCCGGCAAGATGGTATCTCATTGTCATTTTGATTTGCATCTCTCGGATGATTAGTGACTTTGAGTATGTTTTCATCTATCTCCTGGCCTTTAGTATGTCCTATTTTGAAAAGTTTCTATTTAAGTTCTTTGCCCATTTATTTATTGGATTGTTTGTCTTCCTTTTGTTAAGATGTAAGAGTTCCCTATAAATTTTGGAGATTGGCCCTTATCAGAGATAAAATTGGCAAATCTGTTCGCCCATGCAGTGGGCTTTCTGGTTGTTTTGCTGATGGTTTCTTTTGCTATACAGAAGCTTTTTATTTTGATGTAGTCCCATTTGTTTATTTTCTCCTTAGTTTCTATTGCCCTAGGGGCTGTATTGGTAAAGATACTGCTATGACATATCTGATATTCTACTGCCTATGGATTCTTCTAAAATTTTTATGGTTTCCCATCTTAAATTTAAGTCCTTTATCCATTTTGATTTTATTTTTATGTTTAGTGGTCTAGTTTCATTTTTTTTGCATGTGTCTGTCCAATTTTTCCAACACCCTTCATTGAAGAGACTGTCTTGACTCCATTGTATGCTCTTGCCTCCTTTGTCAAATATTTATTGAGCATAATGGTTTGGGTCGAATTCTGGGTTCTCTGTTCTGTTCCATGGCTCTATATATCTGTTCTTGTGCCAGTACCAGGCAATTTTGAAAAGAGTGTAAGCCAATCACTTTTAAACATCTTTGGCTACATTACTCTAAGCTCCTTTCAGAAAATTACCTGTTATATTCACATTACACTATTCTCATTTTCACTATCTTTATTTTCTTTTCTTTTTCCCCTTCAGGAAAACCCATTACATTATTTGAGTTAATGGGGAAAGCTGAAATGTGGCTCATTCGAACCTATTGGGATTTTGAATTTCCTCGCCCAGTCTTACCACATTTCGATTTTGTTGGAGGACTCCACTGCAAGCCTGCCAAACCCCTGCCTAAGGTAAAACTATTCATGTTTTTTCTACTTTGATTATTTTGCACTTTCAGTAGCAATGATTCTGTGTTCTTCATTCCGTATTTCTGACCACACGGTGAGAGATGTGGGAATCTGGGTCAAGTGACAATTAGAAAAGCATACATTTTATACTATTTCAAGAATCTGAATGTCATTATCATTACCAAATAAATAATTATACTTGGGAGACTTTGGAAATAGGGTCAGTTAAATTAAGTTCTTTACTGTTGAATATATAAGAAAGTGTCAATCATTCATTCAAAGACATTCTTAGAGTGACTCACATAGCCAGAGATAAGCACTGGATAAAAGAGAATCAGTGAAGACACAATTTTTATCCATAAATACCCAACATTCTACTTGGAAAGACAGAATCTATATACATAAATCTATATACATAAAAGCCTAAGTGACCGAATGACCAGTCGACCAGTCGCTATGATGCGCACTGACTACCAGGGGGAAGACGCTCAATGCAGGAGCTACCCCGCAGTAGTCAGTGCACTCCTACAGTGGGAGTGCCGCTCAGCTGACCAACAGGTGCCAGACACCAGACTCACAGCTGGTGAGCGCAGCTGTGCAGTGCAAGCCTATCCCACCTTCATGACAGCACTACTGAGCAGCAGCAGCTGCAGGCACAGGGGGACTTGGATGAGCAGGAGCAGTGTGGCCCCTAGCCTGGACTCCTCCCCAGCTATCTGCCACTTTGTGCACTACTACATCCACCTAGGGGTCCAGGGTTGTGAGAGGGCGCAGGCCAGGCTGAGGGACCCAACCGGTGCACAAATCCATGCACCGGGCCTCTAATATTAGTAATAAAAATTTTGTGAAGAGTAGTATAATAGGGAAGATCACAATGCTAAACAATATCCCTCAGGGATTATAGAAAATATTTCATATAATTGATAATTAAGTGGGAACTGCAAGCCTAACATAGGATAGCAGAAAGGAATGGTAATAAAGGAAGACACAAAAGGTAATGCCAGAAAAATAATAATGACAATTCCCAAGAAGTCCAAGTTTAGTGCATCAGGAAGAGGCTGAATAAAGAGGCAGATGATGCTGGAGAAGTAAATTAGAGATAATTAATTATGAGAATTTTGAAGAATCTAATGAAAGTATTCAGGAGCCAATGAAAAGGGGAAAAGGGAGTAAAAGGGCAGAGATATGATCAGATTCTCTTTTTCACAAAGCCCTCAAGATGCAATCTCTGGATTGAATTGCATAGGGACAAGAGTGGAAAGGCAAACAAAGAGGAGGCTGCTGTGAGAATTCCAGCAACAAATAATGAAAAACACAGATTAAAGATGTGAAGAAATCTACTCTTATAGTTATAATATCAACCTCATATTTCTATTCAGTATAAAAAAATTCTATATATATACTAGAGGCCCGGTGCACAAAAATTTGTGCACTCAGGGGAAAGGGGGGGGTCCCTCAGCCCGGCCTGTGCCCTCTCGCAGTCTGGGACCCCTCAGGAGATAATGACCTGCTGGCTTAGGCCTGCTCCCGGTGGCAGAGGGCAGGCCCAATCCCTAGGTGCAGCCCCTGGTCAGGCTCAGAGCAGGGCCAATTGGGGAGTTGGGGCGCTGCCCCCTGTCATGCACAGAGCAGGGCAGATTGGGAGGTTGTGATGCCACCCTGTCGCGCTCATGGTAGGGCCAATTGGGGGGTTGGGACACTGCCCCCTGTCACACTCAAGGCAGGGTCCATGGGGAGGTTGCGGCGCCACCCCCTGTCACGCACAGAGCAGGGCCAATCAGGGGTTTGGGGCGCTGCCCCCTGTCACGCACAGAGCAGGGCCCATCAGGGGGTTGGGGCACTGCCACTCGCACACTCAGGACAGGGCCGATGGGGAGGTTATGGCTCTACCCCATCACACACAGATCAGGGCCTGTGGGGGGGGGGGGGGGTTGGGGTGCCACACCCTGTCACACACAGAGCCACAGGGCGATCAGGGGGTTGGGGAGCTCCCCCCTATCAGGCACAGAGCAGGGCTGATCAGGGGGTTTGGGCGCTGCCCCCTGTCACACTGATCCCGGTGCCAGGAGGCCTCATGGCTCTGCTGATCCCGGTGCTGGGAGGCATATTACCCTTTTACTATATAGGATAGAGGCCTGGTGCATGGGTGGGGCTGGCTGATTTGCCTTGAAGGGTGTCCTGGATCAGGGTGGGGGTCCCCACTGGGATGCCTGGCCAGCCTGGGTGAGGGGATGATGGCTGTTTGCAGCTGGTCACACACCCTTCAGGGTGGGGGTCCCCCACTCGGGTGCCTGGCCAGCCTAGGTGAGGGGATGATGACTATTTGCAGCTGGTCACACCCCCTTCAGGGTGGGGGTCCCCACTGGGGTGCTTGGCCAGTCTGGGTGAGGGGCTGAGGGCTGTTTTCAGGCCTACTGAAGCTCCCAACTGCTCCTTTTTTTCTTTTTTTTTTTTTTATTCTGGGCCAGCTTTAGCTCTGGCTCCAGCTCTGAGGCTTCTGCTGCTGAAAGAAGGTATCTGGTTTGTTTTGGTTCTATAATCAAAACAATGTATAACTCCAGCTCTGAGATCCCGGGCTCGCTGAAAGCAGGTTTCTGTGGTTTTGTTTAGCTTCTATATTTGTTACAATGTTTCTTAAACTGCAGGCTCAGAGGCCGGCAAAGCAGGCGGGGAACGTTGGTTTCCTCCGTCACTGAAGCAAGCAAGCCTCATGTTAGTTTCAAGCTGCCTGGCTGCCTGCCGCCATCTTGGCTGGCAGTTAATTTGCATATCTCGCTGATTAGCCAATGGGAAGGGTAGTGGTTGTACGCCAATTACCATGTTTCTCTTTTATTAGATAGGATATAATACTTACAATGTCTATGGCACATAGTGACACAAAAGTAATATTAACTATTGCTACTATTGTTATTTTTACTGCTGTTAAGAACAGTATTGGCCAGGCCAAGTAGCTCAGTTAGTTAGAGAATTGTCCCAGTGTGCCACGGTTGCAGGTTTGATCCCAATCAGGGCCCATACAAGAAGCAGCCAATGAGTGCATGAATAAATGGCAATAAATGAGGTATCTAGACTACTCAAATGCATAGAAACAAAGTAGAATGATGATTGTCAGTTCCAATTTGCAAGATGAAAAAGTACAGAGATGGGTTTTATAACAATAAGACTATATATACTACAGAACTGTGCATTTAATAATGGTTAAGATGGTCCCTGGCCAGTGTGGCTTAGTTGGTTGGGCACTGTCCCATGCACCAAAGGTTACTGGCTCGATTCCCAGTCAGGGCATATGGCCAGCTTGTGGGCCCCACCACCTTGAACATGCAGGAGGCAGCCAATAGATGATTCTCTCTGTCTCTCCCTCTCTCTTCTTCTCTCTCGCTAAAAATCAATAAAAATATTTTTAAATACTTAAGATGGTAACTTTATATTTTGTGCATTTTAACACAATTTAAAATAACAAGCACTACACTAATAACTCCTTATAATACTTAATTTTCTCTTTGGCTGTTTATAGCAATCCCTTCAATAGTGTTCACTATGCTATTGCTCTTTTGTGATGGAGAAAATTCTTTATTCACAGGAAATGGAAGAGTTTGTCCAGAGCTCTGGAGAAAATGGTATTGTGGTGTTTTCCCTGGGGTCGATGGTCACTAACATGACAGAAGAGAAAGCCAATGTGATTGCATCAGCCCTTGCCCAGGTTCCTCAAAAGGTTAGATAAACTACTTTAGAGCAGAAAATTAATGAGTGTGTTAAACTCTGTAAAGGGTCTGATTAAGAAATTTCTACATGAAAGGTTAACTATTAGGATAGCTCCAATTATCTCGGATAACAATTTGAAAAACAAAATACACATGTCAGGTGCTAAAGTAGTATAGAGGGTCTTTTTGATGGGCAGTAACTTTGGCATTAACATTCTGGTCACAAAGAAATATATTTCAAAAATACAGTGTGAATTTTTCTTTGATAATAGTGCAGAAACCGATATCATCACATCCTATCCTGTCATTTGCTTCATTTCCTTGCCGGATTCCTAGAGTACTGAACACAGTACCAATGTTCTCAGACTAGACTTAAATTTTAACATTAACCACGGAATGATAACAGTCTGAAAGGCATCTTACAATTTAGACTTTCCAGGTAATCCAGGCCTCTCCTATTTTCCCTGGATTTTGGATTAGGCCTATTTGGTTGCAAGGTGATATTCAGAGTAAGGATGTCTAGGGCTCACCAAGCTGCATCCAGGTACCTAATCCAGAAACAATGATTTAGAGAAAGAGAAAAAATGGCCCGTAAAAAGGAATGAGAACCTCCCTGGTGGGCTGGGCCCTGCTAAATTCTGAGGCAGGAAGACGTAAAAGAAAAGGTGAAGGTGGGTCCAGCCTTCAAGGTGACCCTGTGTTTTATATGTGGCCCTAAAACAACCCATCAGAATAATAACTTCTCCTGATTAAGAAGAAGAAGGAAATGTAATAGTCAACCAGAAGCAAGCCTAACATAGGATAGTTTAAAATGCCTCCCCCTTCTCCATAAAATATGATAATAAATCATATTTTCTAATACATAAAATACAATTGTCTCTGTGTAATTGTAAAATACTTGTAGTTTCCTAACTAATGTAGCTTTCTCCTTAATACCTACGCAAGTTTACTGAGAACCTATGCCGGAAGCCGGTCCATCCTTGCTGCTTGACACAGTCGCTGCAGGAAAGAAACATCTGCACAGCATATGTTTCAAGGGACCTGGCGTATATAGCATACTGTTCTTAATATGTTTGCTCCCCTTAGCGCTGTGTGTTTTAACCAAGGTCACCTCTCCAAGAAAGGTTGTTTCCCCAGGTAGGAATTTTTCCCTGAAGTCAGGGAGGGGATGAAACTCCTTAACTAAGTGCCAGGCGGGTAGTTAATCACTACAAACAATCATGTTTAAGCTACATAATCTTTACTCCCTGGAATGAAGATAAGAAACGCCCTAACCTTTGTAATAGAAATTGACAGGATTAAAATCAACTGGTATAAATATGGATGTAACAAGACAATAAACAGCAGAACTTCGCTGGAGATCCAGACCAGAACTTGGCTGGAGATCCTGGCTGGAGATCCTGGCTAGGCTGCTGATCAACTGAACACTGTCTCCGTGTCCTTCCTTCTTCACCGACTCCGTCTACGCCTTTGGGAACCCCTGGACCTGCTGGGGTTGGACCCCGGCAAACCTAAAGTAACGTTAACACACACATAGAAAAGAGATGTTAACCACTTATAAACTAGAATCCAGCTTGCTGGTGGACTTAGAAATTGCTTGGCTATTTATCATTAATTAACCGTATTAATCAATGCTGTCAGTACATTGTAGCATGTTTTGTAGTGTTAACAGTCAGTTGAGTAAAATTTACTGTCATTATCATATTTGATCTTTTCAACAGGTAAACTATTATTTATAAAGTGCCAATGACTTTTCTTTTCTACATTTTAAGAAAATTTTCCATCCTAGCTAGAGTGATAACACTGGATTTAGGTAAAAATTACCACTTGGAAGTGGTGATTAATAAGTAGAAAACTAAAAGAAGCTAAACATACTCATTAAGCAGACATTATTTATTATTAATAATAAACATCAAAATGATTTAATTCTTATAAATAGCTGATTGCCTTGATTTTGTAAATCAAATTATGTAAAACTCTAATATACTTTATGAAATTAATGAATATAAGAAAAGCACTTCCCCATCATTCAAAAAGAAATAAACAGGTTAACATTAAATCTAAATGATAACAGCTAGAATAATAAATAATTAAAATAAATGCATAGACCATTAATTTGCTGGGTTTTGCACTACAATTATATGACTACATAAAAATTTTTATATGCTTGAATTGGTCATTGATAATCTCATTTTTCTAACCCCAAAGTGTGAAATATCATGATTGCACTCATACCTGACTGAATATAAAAATAAGTAACATGCAATATAAGTATGTACACTTCTTACATCAGCCTTTTATTGATTCTCATTATCAGAATGTCTTTTCCTCATTCCCTTACCTGTAATATGTCAGGGTTTAACTAGATGTCTCTTAAACTATTTAGAATTCTAACATGATATAACTCTGCAGTTTGACTCAAGTAATACATTCCCTTCCTTACCCTAACAGGTTATATGGAGATATGATGGCAAAAAACCAGACACCTTAGGGCCAAACACCCGGCTCTATAAATGGATCCCCCAGAATGACCTTCTTGGTAAGATTCTGGAAAACCCTGAAATCAGAATCAAGTTAACCAGATTGATAAACAGTTCACTAGGATAGAAATGTATTGAACATTTCTTACTGAAAACCTCAAAAATAAAAATGAACTTCCCAATATTTCTTTCCCAGTCCTAGGGGAAAAGGATAAGCTATAAGTTGGCATCTTATGTTACACAGCCATGTTACTTACGGCCACAAACAAAAGATCTTTATTTCATATGTAATTCCTCTCAGAGAGAATATCTCAACACTTTCCTGATTGTCACTCTGCCTCCTAATTCTCTCCTTATACCAATCATTTAATCCACGGTAAGGGTGTACAGGTGCCCCTGAAAAATATCAGCTCCTCTTTTATTGCCAGTGACTCTACATTTTCCATTGGGAAAAAATATATATATCTCTTTTTGAAGTAATAAATAATTTCATGATAATGTGTACCTGTTCCTTCCTTTAATTCCTGTGCCATCACCATCCCATTGTCGGTTGCCTTAACATCTACATATCACACTCTGTGACTTCACTATTTTATTAAGAGAATATATTTCAACATGCACCACCACTTTTTTTTGCACACTTTTTTAAATTCAGAATATTCTCTTTCCATTTGTCCACTAGCAACTTGTATTCATTTCAAGTCAAAAGGAACACACCTATCTTCTATGTAAGCCTTCACTGTCTCTCCAGCAGACTTAAGTGCCTCTTCCTATGACTTCTGAAAAACATTTTAATACAGTCTGAAGGGTAGACCAATATGTTACTAAATATATAGTCTCTATCAGTGCCTTTATTGCCCAACTCTCATTTTATTTCCAAGACTTATAATTCATTATTTGCTGAAATTCACTCAATCCTAGGTCATCCAAAAACCAAAGCCTTTATAACTCATGGTGGAGCCAATGGCATCTATGAGGCGATCTACCATGGGATCCCTATGGTGGGTATCCCTATGTTTGCGGATCAACCTGATAACATTGTTCGCATGAAGACCAAGGGAGCAGCTATCAGATTGGACTTCAACACTATTTCAAGTACAGATTTGCTCAATGCATTGAAGACTGTCATTAATGACCCTTCGTAAGTATCACATTTTTAATAGTAGTTAGAAATAGGTCTTTTGTCAATTATTTGTCTATTATGAATACAGCATTATGTTTTTGTGTGAATATCAGTTTTCATTCATTTTTGGGTAGATATCTTCAAGTGAACTCTGGGTCATACAATAACTCTATGACAAACTGAAAAACTGATGATCAAAGAGACTATACCATTTACATTCCTATCAGCTATGTATGAGAGTTCCAATTCTCTACATCATTGTGAATTCTTGTTATCATCAGTTTAGGTCTATAGGAATAGAAATGCATAGATATGTAAACTAAAAGACATATACAAAAATGTTTATAGTAGTTTAGTAGTAATGGCCAAAAAGTATTAATAATCTAAATGTCCATTGGTCATTAAATGAAGAAATAATTTGTAGTATTGTCATATAATTAAATACTATATAGCAAAGGAATTAACCAATAACTGCTACAGAAATGAAAAAAAAACAAGTGAGTACATACTATAAGATTCTAATATATAAACAAGAAAAACTAATTTATGGTATTGGAGATCAGGAGAGTAGGCAATTTGGAGAAGGGTGTAGTAAAATGGCCCAGGGATGAAGTGGTTCTATGGATAGTGGGTATGTTGATATGTTCACTTTATAACTTTATTGATAATTTTGAAATTTTGAGCTGATCACTTAGAATATATGCACACACTTATGAATTTCATAAATAAATTGAAGGTATGTTTTATAAAATGTATTTAGAAATTATAGGAATTAAATAGAAAAATAAAGAAAACCAGAGACATTAAAGAAATGCTATCATACATAGACACTGGGACGGTGGGGGCTTGCCCCGGGTGGGAATTGCTGGAGGGCAGGGGTCAACTGGGGAAAAAGGAGACATATGTAAAACTATAGACAATAAATTTAAAAAATTAAAAATTAATTTAAAAAAAAGAAATGCTATCATAGTGTGGCCAGGGAAAGTCTCTCTGAGATGTGACACTGAGCCAACATCTCCAGCAAGAGTGGGGTGCTGCAGGAAAAACTGCTCCAGGAAAGGGAGAAAGCGGACAGAAAGTACAAAAGTGCCAACAGGAGAACATATTTGGCACCTCCAATGAATAGCTAACTAGAAGAGCATTGTGACTACAGTAGAGCATGCTTGGGACAAAATAATAGAAGAGATAGCCAGGGGTCTGTTCTTGTAAGATACGACAGGGCAAATAATTGATTTGGATTTTATTCTAAATGTGATAAGGAGGCAGATAGAAATTTTGAGCATGTGTAGTATTCTGTTGGGTTTAACAAAAAGTATTTTGGCTATAGGGTTAAAAGTAGACAGAGTTATGCCGTGATTGGTTTGGCTCAGTGGATAGAGCATCGGCCTGCAGACTTAAGAGTCCCAGGTTCGAATCCAATCAAAGGCATGTACCTTGGTTGTGGGCACATACCCAGTAGGGAGTTTGCAGGAGGAAGCTGATCAATGTTTCTCTTTCATTGATGTTTCTAACTCTCTATCCCTCTCCCTTCCTCTCTAAAAAAATCAATAAAATATTTTTTTTAAAAAATAGAGTTATGAAGAGAAGAGTAGAAATACAAAGACTTGTGAGGAAGCCTTTCTCCTGCCAGGACACAATTCCTCTTTAGAACTTCTAGAGCTTTGCCCTAACGGGTTTGGCTCAGTGGATAGAGCGTTGGCCTGCAGACTGAAGGGTCCCAGGTTCGATTCCAGTCAAGGGCATGTACTTGGTTGCGAGCACATCACCAGTGGGGGGTGTGCAGGAGGCAGCTGATTGATGTTTCTAACTCTCTATTCCTCTCCTTTCCTCTCTATAAAAAAATCAATAAAATATAGTTTTTAAAAAACCGATAATTCTACCAACAACAGACCTTCACTAAAATAATATTTAAAAGGTATTTAAAAAATAAAAAATAAAAAACTTCTAGAGCTTTATTATAAACTAGAGGCCCGGTGCATGAAATTCATGCACTCAGGGAGTTGGGGGCGTCCCTCAGCCCGGCCTGCACCCTCTCACAGTCCGGGAGCCCTCAAAGCATGGTCTTCTGATGACTTAGGTCCACTAATTTGGACATCCTTAGCACTGCCGCAGAGGTGGGAGAGGCTCCCGCCACCCCTGCTGCACTCACCAGCCATGAGCCCAGCTTCTGTCTGAGCAGCGCTCCCCCTGTGGGAGTGCACTGACCTCAGGTGCAGGCCAGGCCAAGGGACCCCACAGGTGCACAATTAGGGCCGGTAAGGGACACGGGAGGTTAGCCAACTCGGGAGGGACCACAGTAGGGCTCCAGGGCATGTCTGGCCCATCTTGCTTAGTCCCAATCAGTCAGACCCGAGCAGCAAGCTAACCTACCAGTTGGAGTGTCTGCACCCTGGTGGTCAGTGCACATCATAGCGAGCCGTTGAGGGGCCTTAGCATATCATTAGCATACTGTGCTTTGATTGATTGAATGGACAACTGGATGACCAGACACATAGCATATTAGGCTTTTATTACATAGGATACTAGAGGCCCTGTACATAAAATTTATGTACAGGGCCATGTCCCTCAGCCCAGCCTGTGCCCTCTAGCAATCCAAGACCCCTTGGGTAGGGTTCCTAGGCCTAGCTGGTGATCAGGGCCTGTTGGGGCTTTCCTTCCCCTTGCTGCCAGCAGCTGGCCCCGCCTCCACCATCACCACTGCTTGCCACCTGTGCAGTGTTGCTCCCCTGCCCCCACCACCAGTCACCTCCCTCTGTGGGCAACAGGTGTGGGGTGTGATCACTTGGCTGGGCTGGGCCTTCCTCTGTGGGGTTATCGCTGGCCAGCCCTGCACACCCTCTGCAGCACCACCAGCCAGGTAGCCTGGGCCTCCCTCTTTGGGGCAATCAATCACAGGGCTCCGTGATTGACCACCCAGCAGAGGGAAGCCCCGCCTACCCAGCCAGGGCTCCACAATCAATCGCCACACAGAGGGTGGCCTGGGCCTCCCTCTTTGGGGCAATCATGGAGCCCCCACCCCCTCAATTGATTGGCCTGCTGGCCAGTGGCCTGGGCCTCCCTCTTTGGGGCAATCGATTGTGGAGCACCCCCATTGATTGCCCTGCATAGGATGACCTGGGCCTCCCTCTGTGGGGTGATCGTGGGGCAATGATGGGGCCCCCTGACCAATCGCATCGCACCTGCCTTGACTGGCCTGGTGCCAGTGCATGTCATAGCGTGGTCGTCTGGAAGGTTGTCCTGACAGTTTTTCTGCCGTTCAGTAGTTTGGTCAATTTGCGTATTATGCTTTTATTATTATAGATACAATTCCACTCTCCAACATATAGCATATAGAATGGCTTCTATCATTTCTTTTACTGAAAATACATTAACTTTTCCACTTATTTTTCATCTTCACTGTTTAAAATATTTTTCAATGAGAAATTTTTAATTTAGAAGTCAAACTTTCTTTGACATCCAAATAAAAATATACTACTGTAATTCTAAGGTATGTATGTTAAATCATTTGTTTGACAAAAACTTTTTATAGGTTTGAATTGGTTAGGCAAATTAACTTCCTTTCAATGTTGGTATCTTTGTGTTTCTCCTTCAGATATAAGGAGAATGCTATGAAATTATCAAGAATTCATCATGACCAGCCTATGAAACCTCTAGATCGAGCGGTCTTCTGGATCGAGTTTGTCATGCGCCACAAAGGAGCCAAACACCTGCGGCCAGCCTCCTATGACCTCACCTGGTTCCAGTACCACTCTTTGGATGTGATTGGGTTCCTGCTGGCCTGTGTGGCAACTGCTACATTTGTCATCACAAAATGTTGTCTGTTTTGTTACCAGAAGTTTGCTAAACCAGGAAAGAAGAAAAAAAGGGAGTAGTTGTTTCAAGGCCTGAGGCTGATTTGCCTCATAAATGGGACTCCTTCAGTTTATTCAGCACAATGAAGTTCTAACATAAGGATCCCTTCTTCCTGTGACAAAATGACTTCATAACTTAGCTTCTAAGATCAACATTTGTTTTCAAGTGATTTAGATAAAAGTTTATTTCCAAGTGGTTTACTACCTATTTGAGGTAGAAATATTTCATTCCAAAGAGAAAAATCTTGGAAAAATTAAAAATAACTAACTCTTTGGGACTATATTGAACTTTACTGCTCTAATTCACAAGCAATACCAAAAATATTATTGAGTTAAACAGTGTTTTAAATATTGTGCATGACACAAAAAGCATGAAGAAGTCTACTCATAGTATCCATAGTATTTTGCACTCAGAGTATTTTAACTAGGAATTCTGTAAAAGGGTTCACCCTTCCATTTCATTTTGGGAGACTAGTAATGCTCCCTGGCTTTTATTATACATCCAACCTCAGAATAACTTCTTACCTAAAGACATGGCAAGTCATTTGCCTTCATGCAGTTTAGCTCATTTTCCAGTGGAATATTCATTGAATTAGAAAGTTATTTGCTTTCTATTGTAAAGTTGAACTATTTATGAAAATCTTCTACTTCAAAAACTAAATTATCTCTTTCTTGTGGCCTTTAAAAATGTTCACCTGACCTGATTGCTTTCACTCTCATTTTCAGCCTTTAATAATGGATGTAAGGCCCCAATTGTAAATTAAGTTAATATAGAACCTGTACTCCTATAAGGACTTATTGTATTTTCATTCTCTCTAAATTTGTATATGTATATATATTTCTTTCAGAATAAGATGGAGCATCACTTATCAATCGACAGATATAGTGTGAAATTTAATGTTTTGGTTGAGCACAATTTGAAATAATGATGATTATTCTATGTAACTATACTAGATTGGCATATCTGTCTCATTCTTTTGTCCCTTTCCTCGGGACATTGTTGCCCCATTCCACCCATAGCTCTTATATGTAAACATTCAATTCTTTGTTGTGACAAAATAATTATCATTTTTATTAAACTTGGGCACACTATGACTGACTTAATATGTACCAATGAAAAGAATACAAAAATTACATAAATATTAAAGGAAATTGGTAAATCAAACCAAAGGAGTCTGAAAGTTCTCCTAAAACCTGCACATCAGGACAACACTTTATGAACAAATTGGTCCAAGATAGGAAAATCATTTATTGATCTTCATTGGCCAAGAAGACCACCATCAAAGTCTTACAACAAACAATTTCCAGATGAAGGCATAAAATTTATTTTGAAAATAAATTAAAACTTTGACGATGGGGAAAATATAGGAAAAAACACAGAGTTTTCCATGCAACTCCTGTAGATAATGGACACATTTTGAGAAACAAAATAGAACTGCCCAATTGGTATGGCTCAGTGGTTGAACGTTGACCCACAAACCAGGATGTCATGGTTCAATTCCCAGTCGGGGCACATGCCTGGGTTGTGGGTTCGATCCCCAGTAGGGGGTGTGCAGGAGGCAGCCTATGGATGATTCTCTCTCATCATTGATGTTTCTATCTCTCTCTCCTTCTCTTTTCCTCTCTCTGAAATCAATAAAAATATTTTAAATATTAAAAAAGAGACTAATAGAACTAATATAGTGCCATAGTAGATAATATCATTAAATCATGCATTGAGACTTAAATAACTTACCTCAAAATATATCCTGTAACAGAAAAGTTTTTGTAGACATTGTATAGTGAGAACTATTACAAATCTCCAACAAAAAATCAAACAGTCACAGCAAAAGAAACCATCAACAAAACAACAAGAAAACCCACTGCATGGGAAAACATATTTGCCAATGTCATATCTGATAAGGGCCTAATCTCCAAAATTTATAGAGAACTCATACAACTTAACAAAAGGAAGATAAATAGTCCAATCAAAAAATGGGCAAAGGACCTAAATAGACACCTTTCAAAAGAGGACATTCAGAAAGCCAACAGACATATGAAAACATGCTCAAAGTCACTAATCATAGGAGAGATGCAAATCAAAACAACAATGAGGTACCATCTCACACCTGTCAGATTGGCTATCATCAACAAATCAACAAACGACAAGTGCTGGAGAGGATGTGGAGAAAAAGGAACACTCGTGCACTGCTGGTGGGAATGCAGACTGGTGCAGCCACTATGGAAGACAGTATGGAGTTTCCTCAAAAAACTACAAATGGAACTCCCATTTGACCCTGTGATCCCACTTCTAGGAATATATCCCAAGAAACCAGAAACACCAATCAGAAAGGATATATGCACCCATATGTTCATAGCAGCACAATTCACCATAGCTAGGATCTGGAAACAGCCTAAGTGCCCATCAGTAGATGAATGGATTAGAAAACTATGGTACATCTACACGATGGAATACTATGCTGCTGTAAAAAAGAAGGAACTCTTACCATTTGCAACGGCATGGATGGAACTGGAGAGCATTATGCTAAGTGAAATAAGCCAGTCAATGAAGGAAAAATACCACATGATCTCACTCATTCATGGATAATAGAGACCATTATAAACTTTTGAACAATAATAGATACAGAGGCAGAGCAGCCTCAAACAGATTGTCAAACTGCAGCGGGAAGGCTGGGGAGGGTTGGGGGGCAGGAGGGAGGGGGGTAAGAGATCAACCAAAGGACTTGTATGCATGCATATAAGCATAACCAATGGACATACGACACTGAGGGGTAGGGGAGGCCAGGGGATTGTCGAGGGCGGGGGAAAAAAGGGACACATATGTAATACCCTTTGTAATACTGTAAGCAATAAAAAAATAAAAATAAAAAAAATAAATTTTAAAAAAATCAGTCAAAACTGCATTTATGAAAATAGTGAATATGAATAGGAAATTCACAAAAGTAAAATGGTCAATAAAACATAAAAGATGACAAAAGTCACTGATGCTTTGGAAGGTAAGAAATTAAGTCATTAATTTCCTACAGATAATTTTCCAAACAATTTATCCGGTAAAACTATTTTTAAGGAAGTATAATGTGGAAATACCCTATACCTCATCTTCCCCACCAGTGAAATGCAGATAAACATATGGTATTAACTACCTCATGGAGTTTGTGGAAGGGGTGAATGTATTAACATTTTAAAGCAATAAAAACAGTTGCTGTGTATGGAAAAATGTAATTTGCATTATGATTTATATGCATGAAAAACTTTCACAATGATTTTAGTCTTTGCATAAGTTACTTTAATATATTTTTTTCACTGTAGCCCTAACCAACAAGTCAGTAGCATCAATGGCTTTAAGGCAAGGCGGGGGGGAGCGTATCCCTGAGCCACTGGGTCAAGCTGCTAATGCTAATATCTTAGGGGGGGTCTATGGTGATCTCCAGGTTTTTGGGTGAGTACCCCAAAGGCATTACCTTCCTTTTGGTTAAAAAAAAAGGAAAATGGAATCTGATAATTAAGATGCCCAAGAGCAGGTAGGTTTATTAAACTCTCCTTTAAGGCTCTAAATGCTATTTCATTCCATTCTTCCCATAAAATTTGGTCAGGACTATAATTCTTTAGTAAATATATGAGGTTTAGGAATCCAATTTGGGCAATAGCCAACTAGTCCAAGAAAAAGTCAGGAAACTTAGGACACCATGAAACTTACTTGGGTCCAGGTACAGTCCTTGTTCCAATATTAGATGTCTCAAATATTCTACCTGAGTTAGGACAAACTGAAATGTCTTCATAGACTTTGTGTCCCTTTAAGTACATAAGTTCAAACTGGTGGATGCTGTCTTCCAGAGAGGAGATCTGAAAAGAGCAAATAAATAAATCATTCACATCTCTCAACAAGGTATAACCTATAGGGCAAGTTATATGATCCAAATCAGTCTTAAAAATTTGTCATAAATAAGAGGAGCTTTCAGTAAAACCCTAAGGCATTACTGTCCAGGTAAATTGTTTTCCTTCCCAAAACTAGGTGAAATAGTATTGTCTAGTTTCATTAACTGAAATTCTAAAAAAATGTACTACATAAATTTATTACAGTAAAGAATTTATTTCTAGTTCAGTTAGATGCTATCAGTGTATGGGGGTTAAAAACAACAAGGTGTAGAGGGATAATAATGTTGCTTATTTTTTGGAAATTCTAGACAAACCTCCATCCCCATCCTCTGGCATACTCACAGATAAAATGAGAGCATTACAAGGACTAGAACAAGAAATAATAAGACCCTGAGTTTTGGAATCTTCTATCATGAGCTTTATACTATGAAGAACCTCTTATAGAATATTGATTCACTAGAGGCCCGGTGCACAAAAATTTGTGCACTCGTGGGGGGGGGGGTCCCTCAGCCCTGCCTGTGCCCTCTTGTAGTCTGGGACCCCTCGGGGGTGACCACTTGCTGGCTTAGGCCTGTTCCCCGGGGAATTGGGCCTAAGATGGCAATCAGAAATCCCTCTGGCAGCCCGGCAGCCCTCGGGGGATGTCCATTTGCTAGTGGGGAGCAGACCTAAGCTGCAGTCAGACATCCTTAGCACTGCTGGGGAGGCAGGAGAGGCTCCCACCACCACTGCTGTACTGGCAGCCATCAGCCTGGCTTGTGGCTGAGCAGAGCTCCCCCATGTGGGAGCACACTGACCACCATAGGGCAGCTCCTGCATTGAGCGTCTGCCCCCTGGTGGTCAGTGTGTGTCATAGTGACCAGTCATTTCCAGTCTTTCTGCTGTTAGAGTCAGTTTGCATATTACCCTTTTACTATATAGGATAGAGGCCTGGTGCATGGGTGAGGGCTGGCTGGTTTGCCCTGAAGGGTGTCTCGGATCAGGGTGGGGGTCCCGCTTGGGTGCCTGGCCAGCCTGGGTGAGGGGCTGAGGGCCATTTTCAGGCTAGCGGGTGACTGAAGCTCCCAGCCTCTTTTTTTTATTATTATTCTGGGATTTATTTACCTTCTATAGCTATCACTGGAGCTGAGAGCCAGTTCCAGCTCTGAGGCCCAGCTCCACCTCTGAGGCCATGGCTGGCTGAAAGCAGGTATCTGGGGTTTGTTTGGCTTCTATAATTGAAACATTGTTGTTTCCGGGGCTCAGAGCTGGGCCGCGGCAGGCGGAGAACCTTGGCTTCCTCCATCACTGAAGCAAGCAAATCTCCTGCTTGCTTCAGCTGCATGGTTGCCAGCCGCCATCTTTGTTGGCAGCTAATTTGTATATCCTGCTGATTAGCCAATGGGAAGCGTAGCGGAGGTATGGTCAATTACCATGTTTGTCTATTATTAGATAGGATTCTGGGAAGAGGTTTTAAATGATCAATTTGAATCATAATCAGAAATTCACTATGGTTTCTTCCAGTATCAGATGAAGATTTGCTCATAAAGAAGATGCAGTTGATTCAATAGGGAAATTGATCAGTAGTCCCAGATTCAGTGACTGCA